AGATGATCATGACTAGATTAAAAAGTAACATGTCTTTAAATACATGATTTTGAGATGAGTGGTAGTTTACCCCTTTCAAACACAAATATTTAGGACTAGTATCTAACAATGTATTTCCCATTAGTGTCATATTTGGCCAACTTTAATGATATTAATTGGATGCACCAAACATTTATTGAGTGTGTATTTTGTGCAAGGCCTTATAGCAGGGAATCAATATATGAACAAAACATAAAACTTTTCTCGAAGATATTAAAATAGTTACAACACAGAAGCTAAAAAGTAGCTTCATTGGTATAACCAAAACCAAACCAAACCCATTGCCATTGAGTCTATTCCAACTCATAATGATCCTATAGGACAGAGTAGAACTGCCTCATATGGTTTCCAAGGCTGTAATCTTTATGGAAGCTGACTGCCACACGTGGAGCAGCTGGTAGGTTTGAAATTCTGATCTTTCAGTTAGCAGCCAAGCATTTAACCACTGCATCGCCAGAGATCCTTTCATTGGTATATCAATGAATACATTAACAAGAGCTGTTTCTTTTGGATTAAGTGAACCCAGTGAAAAGTAGCAGAGCTATATCACTTGGGGAAAACCCTGCTTGAGAAGTCGGCTTGTTGGATTATAGTAACTTCAGCAGAAAGAGGCTAGAAGTGTACTGCAAAAGGTGGGAGGTGTGGTAGTGTGTCGGATCATAAGACATCAGCTGAAGTGTGCATTAACTACTGCAGGGAACTGGAGGTTGCAACAACAAAAAAAGTACTTCGCAAAGGAAAGACCTAACACAAAGTCACCGAAGTCAGATCGCAACAGTGCTAGTCAATTAAGGCTTTCTTGCATTTCTCCCTTACTCCCTTGGAGGAATTTGAACCAGCAGTCATGAGGAACAAGAAAACAAGCCACAACTGACAGCTCCTCTGTTACAAACTGCAGTTTCTTAAATTTAGGTCAGGCCTGAGCTGAAGATGGTGAGACGTTTTGAATTTGAAGGTATATTGTAATTTTTTTTTAATGATTTTTTATTTTGTTGTTGTTGAGAATATACACAGCAAAACATTCACCAATCCAACTGTTTCTAAATGTACAATTCGGTGATATTGATTATAGTTTCTGAGGTGTACAACCTTTCTCACTCTCCTCTTCTGAGTTGTTCCTCCCCCATTAACGTAAATTTCCTGCCCCCTTAGTTTCACATCTAATCTTTCTAGTTGCTGTTGTCAATTTGGTCCCACGTAGATAGTTCTTAAGAGAGCATAAGGCTCAGAGCAGACATTCTTCACTAGTTAAGCTAAACTGTTGTTTGGTGTAAGAAGAATTCGGGGGATATTTTTGGTTTAAGGTTTAAAGATTATCTCAGGGCAATAGTTTTGGTATTTATCCAGCCTTCATGACTCCAGAAAGTCTGCATTCCATGGGAAATTAAAATTCTGTTCTGCATTTTCCCACTTTTGATCAGGAATCTTCTATAGAATCTTTAATCAGAATGTTCAGTAATGATAGCTGGACACCATCCAGCTCTTCTGATCTCATGGCAAAGGAGCCAATTGTTCCTGAAGGAAATTAGCCACACATTCCGTTTTCTCCTCCTATTCCTGATTCTCCTTCTTCCTCTGTTGTTCCCTGCCAATAGACACCAATTGCTGTGCCTTAGATGGTTGCTTGCAAGCATTAAGACCCCAGGCACTATGGAACAAACTAGGAGGTAGAACATAAGCACTAAACATGCTATGAGACCAATTAACTGGGATGTCCCAACACCATGATCCTAAAACTCCAAACTAAGGAACCAAATCCCATGAGGCGTTTGGTTGTACATAAGCACATAAGTAGCCTCAGCAGCTACTCTTTTTTTTGGTCATTGTTTTTGTAAATAGATCCATCACACAGCTTTTGCCAATTTAACATTTTATAGGTGTACGAGTTATTGACAGCAATTACAATAATCAGCTGTGCAACCCTACCCTTAATCCGTGCAATTTTACCATCACTTCAAATGAAAATTCAGTACTCAATAAGCAATAACCCCTCTGTCTACCTCCCACCGGCCTCTGATAACCACTAGTAAACTTTGTTCTTTATACTTTTGTGTTTTCTTGACTTTTTTATAACTAAGGTCATACAATATTTGTCCTTTTGTGATTGACTTATTTCACTCAGGATAATGTTTTCAAGCTCCATCATTACTGTAGCATGTATCCAGACTTTATTACTCTTACTGGCTGAGTAGTATTCCATTGTATGTACCATATGTTGTTTATTCATTCATCTGTCGGGGGGCATTTAAGTTGTTTCCATCTTTTGGTTATTGTGAACAGTGCTGCAGTGAACACTGGTGTACAAACCTCTTTCTGAGTCTCTGCTTTCAAGTCTTTTGGGTATATACCTAGGAGTGGAACTTTCATTTATATATAAGAAACAAAAATGAAACTGGTTCTCAGGTTGAACATGAAACCTATAAAGGAATCACATAAATACATAAGTAAGGTCCTGAGTGATGGTAACATTTCTGATGCATCCCAATGTTTCTCAGAAGCAATCAAGTGAGGTTTCCAGAGTCATGAGCAAGGAATTATTCTGTAGTCTTTGCCAAGAAAGGAGACTTCTGGAAGCATGACTCTAAAACTTTTGACTTACGGCCTAAACAGGGTAAAGCCTGATTGCAGAAAGCTGAAACTTTTGAATTTTTGAACAGTTTGAAGTCAAGTGAATATTTAAGAAAGGGCAATAACATGAAGCAAGTATTTCTAGCTCAGAGAGGGTTTATAGAAGATGAAGACGGCTGAGAGAGAAAATTCACAAACACTTTCAATATGTCCAATCTGTGCTAGAAGTTAAAGAGTGACCTTAACACAAGGATCAGCAACCTCTTTTTTATAATAAAGTTTTATTAGAATACGGCTATGTTCATTCATTTATGTATTGTCTATGACTGGTCTCCTGATACAATGACAAAATTGAATCGTCGCTACAGAGACCACTTAGGTTTAGGCCTGCAAAACCTAAAATAGTTACACTGCTCTTTGCAGAAAAAAGTTTGCCATCCCTAGGATGAGAACATTACTACTTGGGGATCTTGGCTACTGGGAACTAATAAAGCAGATGCAACAAATGACCTTATTTGGACATGAAACCACAAAATCCACAGATCATGACACCTCTTAATGTCTTCTTAGAGTAGATTCAGACAATATGTATTAGAGGGAAGAAATTGAGGTACCTCATACACCTCTTCTTCCCAAAAATGATACCAAGCCAGAGCTAATGGAAGAAGACCTTCCAGAGAACAGCAAAGGCATTAAAAGAAAAAGAGTTGGAAAATGATGCCTATAAGAAATCGGTCACAGCTTGAAGCATTATGACTTCCGAAAGATTTTGGAACCCACTGAAAAGACATAATGTGCTAAGCAAGCAGAGGTTTACTTTGAAAAGGGAGATTGTGGTAAGTTCCATAACCTTGAAAAAGTCGTTAAAGTGAGGGGGAGAAACAAGAGGACTATCGACACGTTGCAAAAGTGTGTGCCCAAACTGACAACTCCTACTTCAAAGAAGAAAAATAAGAAGGAGGCTATCATTTCTACAATAAATATTTTGGCAGAAAACCAAACCCTGGGTATGCTAAAATTTGTCAACAGACAGAAAATATCCTGAAGAACGAGAATGACTGATAGGCATAAATCCTCACTTGTCTTTGAAAGAAAAGAATAAATGCAATGAATATTTTCACAAAGGAGATTTCCCCCAGTCCATAAGCATTAAATATTAAACAAAAGCCTTCCAAAAAAAGCCACAAGACGCTGAGTTGTACAATAGCCATGAAGCTGACATTGAAGGACTGTGAAGTATGTACACACCTGAAGCTCAACCAGTCTCGGGGTTATACCCAGAAAGCAGAATCTCTAGAATCCATGAACAACTATATGAAAGACATGGATGTCTTTCAGAAGACTCTAAACCTAGACTCCAGCTATAAGGAAGCAGCATATGGCTATTAGTAGTGATTGATGTCTCAATACAACTGACATGACAATCTTGAGGATAGGAAAAAAATGAGTCATGATTGACCTGAAGTTCAGCAAATAATCCTCCTGGTACAAATACAGAAAAAGCCCCAGGCACTTCGGGAACATGGAAGAAATCCTGTGATTGCAGACATTTCAGAAGCTAATAGATATGAATCTGATCACCATTTGATAATGCTATGTTCAATCTCCCTTCCTTACCCCTCACCCCTTCACTTATGGAATACGTTGCTGGGCCTGTAGCAAGAAGAAAGGAGCAAAAGAGAGAGAAGGGGATAAAGGGAGAATGGCTTGATCCACATAATTATAAATATCTATGTGGACGATACATACTTTGTACAACTGCTGTGTGAGGGCCATCTTAGTACACTCAAGAGGTCTTTACCACTGATATTTACAATGAAATATCGCATGAAGCTTACTGCTGTCACCTGAATTCTATACATGTTTTCTGTCCTCCTCCAAAGGTATCATTGCTACTTTTCCTCATAGTTAGTCATTTGCAGGGGGGGAGGTGCAGTGGGCAAATATAAAGATGGGGGATTGTTATTCCAATCTCATGTCCCAGTGGTCTTTCTCACATTACTAACTCCATGCCCCCTTTTCTCCAAGAAAACAAGCCTTTCTGGCAATGCTATGAGACAGAGAGAGAGACGGTGGGAGGGAGGAAGGAGAGGAAGAAGAGGAAAATTAATCTGTAATATCCACAAGTGTGGAGCCTGCAGAGGATATCATCACCCAGATGGGTGAATGGGGTTTAAGTAAAACTTGTCGAAGGGCAGTTCTGTGAGACAAAGTTCATTTATGACTTCTTCTGCAGAGACCAAGGGCAAAATAAACTAGTTCCAAGTGTTTATAAGAGTTAAAAAGAGGGAGAGGTCACAATGGGAAAGAGGAACTTTTATTTGATGCAATTAAAAAGTCATTCTCATTAATATTTTCATAATGGTTATATTACAGTAATGGGTACAGTTCACTGTTTCATCCTGAAGGTGTAAAAAATGTTACAGCTCTTTGTTTTAAAAAAAAAACAAAAATGGAATCAAATTGGACACCTAACAAACATGATGAAAAATCTTGGTTCATTTATTTTGAAGTTTCCCTTCCCTCTTCTTAGGGTGCCAAAGCTTTTGGAGATGGTGTGACACATGATGAGCTCTCCTACTTCCTCTTTGGCCCAGTGGGTACGACTATTTGAGGACAGGTGGCTCCGTTGAAGTCTTACGGAAGATACCTATCCATAAAGTTGGTTTACATGCTTTTCTTTCAGTCCTTAGCACCCTCTTCCCTGTTTTTTGTTAGAGCTCTATGCTGCCAAGAGTTTAAAAAAAAAAAAAAAGTTGCCATCTCATTGATTCCGATTCATAGTGACCCTGTCGGACAGAGTAGAACTGCCCCACAGGGTTTCCTGAGAGTGGCTGGTGGATTCAAACTGCCGATTATTTGGTTAGCAGCCTGGGCTCTCAACCACTGCACCACCAGGGCTCCAGGCAAAAGTATAGACTTTTAATAATAAACTCTCATTTTGCTAGCACAAGAGAAGCATAGGCTCCAAGGTTTAAAGCCCTGCTTGTCTTTCACATTATGAAGATCACATGGGACTGGGGAGTGATGGGGGAGTAGTGAGTTATCTTTTCATTCTTTTTTTTTAATAAACATTTGGAATTTTATTAAAAAAGAAAAAATCACAACCATCAACAATGTTACATTTAGAGGCCCTCTCAGTTCTCCATGACACTGAGCATGCTCGCAAGGGGTTCCTACTGGTTTAGTCTTAGTTAAACAACCGTCTTACCTTTAAAAGGAAAACAAAAAACAAAAAAACTCGGCACACTACCATTTAACTTGTGTAATGTTTCTCCAAAAATGGTGAAAAATACTGAAGTACAGACAAGGAACATAATCATAATATTGTAGCCAACATCATAAACATGGAATTATAAATTTAAAACATTTTCTGGTTTAAAAAATAAATCTGGTAGTCAATGCAGCTCTGCAGGGTCTTGTCTAGCAGGGCAAGTCTCTGTGCTCCTGGCGGTTCTCGCCTTTATCCATTTTGCCAGGTTCTTCACATCCTCCTCTTCTTCCTCCTATCTGTTCCATAAAAGGTCCAGGGGGCCCCCCAGGACCACTTCATCTTCCTCCACCAAACCCATGACCTGGCCACCACAGAAGCCACCTCTCTCTCCACCATGGCTACCTCTGAGTATTCCACGGGGATCGCCACAGTCCATGATGCTACCTTTCCCACCCCATATGTCACCTGGGCTGCCTCTGCTACAGTCACAACCCAGGGGTGGGAAGGGTGATGGGAGGAAGCCTTCAGGCTTAAGGACCTTACACTAGTTGCATTCTGTTCTCTAGGCAAAGTTCTGGTTTCCACAACCCAGATTGGGGCACTGCCAGTCTCTAGCTTGGTGCTGGACATTTCCTCCTCCAGATGGGTTTCTTCGGGAACTTCGTAGTCCTCTTGGGGGAGAGCATCCTCTATCTCCTCCACTGCCTCCCATTTGACCCATGCGTCCCCCAGGACCTCCTGGACCCCGTGGACCTCCACGGAGTGGCAGTGGCATCCCCTCTGCCTTCACAGGGTGGCATTCTGCCCCACATGCTGTTCATGGGAGGTTTCTTCCAAGCAAGAGAGACTTTAAGCTTGCTCCCTTGGAAATCTTTCCCATCAAACCACCCCACGGCAGCCTGGGTCTTCATAGGACACTGTGGCATCACCTTTGGGCTTCCCAGTTTTCTTGTCCAGGTAGATATAGATCATGGGTTACCCAGTTCTCTTGTTCATCTTAACAACCCCACACTGCTTAAAAGAGTCTGTCAGATCATCTAGAGTCACATTGTCATTTAATTCTTGCACATAAATCACACTGTTGTCAGAGTCTTCATCTGGATCTACAGGTGGGTCTAAATCAAGATCTGGTCCTTCATCCATGGGTCCACCAGGCTTATTAAAGCCACCTCACTCTCTAGCGCTGCCCATTCCACCATGTCCTCCTCGTTGCCTACCTCTACTCTTGTCTCCATGATCAAATCCCTCTCTTCCCCTGCACTGGTCAACAGGGCCACTCATGCTCTGGTTCTCTCCTGGTCTGGAAAATCCTACAGACTCCTGCCCATAAACACTCATGCTACTGGGGTGGTCCTATCGGAATAAACTCTGCTGCCCATAGCTGCCACTCTGTTGGCTATATTGACTTGGAGCCTGGCTATAGGATCCAGTTTGGGGAAGAGGGGGTAACTTGTGGACAACTGCTGCCTATAGCTGCTCTGTTGCCCATAGCTACTCTGCTGTCCATAGCTGCTCAGCGTCCCATAGGTGTTCTGCTGAGAGTAACTGCTCTGATCATAGCTAGTTGGCTGTGAAGAGGAATAGCTCTTAGGATGGAGGTGCAGTGACTGGCTGCATGGGGTTGCTCCCAGGAACTTGGGGATTAACTGTAGTCACTCTGTCCATACTGCACGCTGGGCTGGTAGTAACCTCTGTGCTAGACTGAGGTTGACTAGTCTTAGCAGCCTCGCTACCATGCTGCGGTCTTGCAGGTGTGGTGGCTGCTGGCTGCTGCCCATATGCCACATAGGCAGGCTGAGTGCCATATGCTAACTGAGCTGCGTACGAGGCCTGGTTAGTGGTCACCATAGCAGTGGTGGTATCATAAGCACCAGTGCCATGCCCCAGACAGCCTGGCTGTAGGTCTTGGGGGCAGCTGGAGTAGTATAACCAGTAGGAAGCTGTCCATAAGAAGTTGCATAGGCGGTCTGCCCATAGGCTGCAGTGGTCTGAGCCTGGGTATAGCTGACATCAGTGGACTGTCCATAGGTTCCACAACTTTGTTGCCCAAATGCCTGGATGGTCTGTGCATATCCTTGAGTGGGCTGGGCAGTGGAAGCACTGTAGCTCCACTGGGCTGCAACTTGGCTGTACATACTGTAATCCTTGGACATCATTTTCTCTCCTTCCTCCTCGTTCTCTCCCTTTTTTTTTTTTAAAGAAAAAAAACTTTATTTTAGGATAGTTTTAGATGTGTAAAAAAAATTGGGATATCATACAGAGTTCTCATATACCCCACACTCAGTTTCCCTATTATTAACATCTTATATTAGCATGGTACATTTGTTGCAATTAATGAACTAATATTGATTCATTATTATTAACTAAAGTTAATTCAGATTTCTTCAGTATTTACCTAATGTCTTTTCTGTTCCAGGATCCCACATTACATTTATTTATTTATTTTTATTTCTTTGCACCGATTTGCTCCTATTATTCATTGTGTGTGTGTGTGTGTGTGTGTGTGTGTGTGTGTGTGCTTTAGGTGAAAGTTTACAGCTCAAGTTAATTTCTCACACAAAAATTTATACACATTATTTTGTGACATTAGTTGCAATCCCCACCATGTGACAGCACACTCCGCCTTCCCACCCCGGCTTCCCTGTGTCCATTTGACCAGCTCCTTGTCCATTACCTAGTTACTGTCTTCTCCTCCCCGTCCCCTCCACCCTCGTAACCATCGAAGAATGCTTTTTGATGTGTTTAAACCTTTTCTTGAGTTCTTAAAATAATGGTGTCATACAAGATTTGTCCTTTTGTGACTAATTTCTCTCAGCATGATGCCCTCCAGATTTATCCATGTTGTGAGATGTTTCACAGATTCATCATGTTCTTTATCATTACATAGTATTCCACTGTGTGTATGTACCATAATTTGTTTATCCATTCATCTGTTAATGGGCATTTAGGTTGTTTCCATCTTTTTTCTATTGTAAACAGTGCTGCAATGAACATGGGTGTGCACATGCCTATTCGTGTGATGGCTTTAAGGAAGCCCGAAATTGTTTTCCAAAGTGGCTATACCATTTTACACTCCCGTCAGCAGTGAATAAGAGTTCCAATCTCTCTACAACCTCTCCAATATTTATCATTTTGTGTTTTTCAGATTAGTGCCAGCCTTGTTGGGTTGAGATGGTATCTCATTGCAGTTTTGATTTGCATTTCTCTAACGGCTAACGATCATGAGCATTTCCTCATGTGTCTGTTAGCCGCCTGAATGTCTTCTTTGGTGAAATGTCTGTTCATATCCTTTACTCATTTTTTAATTGGGTTATTTGTCTTTTCGTTGTTGAGTTGTTGTAGTGTCTTGTAGATTTTAGAGATTAGGCCCTTCTTGGATATGTCCTAGCCAAAATTTTTTTTCCAGTCTGTAGGTTCTCTATTCTTTTAGTGAAATCTTTTGATGAGCGTAAGTATTTGATTTTTAGGAGCTCCCAGTTATCTAGTTTCTCTTCTGGTGTTTGTGAATTGTAAGTTATTGTTTGTATAGTATTTATGCCATGTATTATGGCTCCTAGCATTTTCCCTATTTTTTCTTCCATGATCTTTATCGTTTTAGATTTTATATTTAGGTCTTTGATCCACTTTGAGTTAGTTTTTGTATATGGTGTAAGGTATGGGTCCTGTTTCATTTTTTTACAGATGAACATCCAGTCATGCCAGCACCATTTGCTAAAGAGACTGTCTTTTCCCCATTTAACGAACTTTGGCCTTTGTCAAATATCAGCTGCTCATAGGTGGATGAATTGACGTCTGGGTTCTTAATTCTGTTCCATTGGTCTATGTGTCTGTTGTTGTACCAGTACCAGGCTGTTTTGACTACCATGCGGGTATAATAGGTTTTAAAATTAGGCAGTGTGAGGCCTCCCACTTTGTTCTTCTTCAGTAATGCTTTACTTATGCAGGATCTCTTCCCTTTCTGTACGAAGTTAGTGATTTGTTTCTCCATCTCATTAAAAAATGCCGTTGGAATCTGGATTGGGATTGCATTGTATCTGTAGATTGCTTTGGGTAGAATTGACATTTTCACAATGTTGACTCTTCCTATCCATGAGCAAGGTATGTTTTTCTGCTTATGTAGGTCTCTTCTGGTTTCTTGCAGTAGTGTTTTGTAGTTTTCTTTGTATAGGTCTTTCACTTCTCTGGTTAGTTGTATTCCTAAGTACTTTATCTTGTTGGGGGCTATTGTAAATGGCATTTGGTGATTTCCTTTTCGAAATTTTCTTTGTTGGTGTAGAGAAATCCAACTGATTTTTGTATGTTTATCTTGTATCCTGATACTTTGCTGAGATCTTCTATTAGTTGCAGTAGTTTTCTTGTGGATTCTTTGGGGTTTTCTGTGTATAACAACGTATTATCTGCTAATAGCGGTACTTTCATTTCTTCCTTGTCAGTCTGGATGCCCTTTATTTCCTTCTCTTGCCTTATTGCTCTGGCTAGGACCTCCAGCACAATGTTGAATAAGAGTGGTGATAATGGGCATCCTTGTCTGGTTTCTGTTCTCAAGGGGAATGCTTTCAGTCTTCTCTCTGTTTAGAATGATGTTGGCTTTTGGTTTTATATAAATGCCCTTTATTATGTTGAGGAATTTCCCTTCTATCTCTATTTCGCTGAGAGCCTTTATCATGAATGGGTGTTGGACTTTGTCAAATGCCTTTTCTGCATCACTTGATAAGATGATATGGTTCTTATCTTTTGTTTTATCTATGAGATGTATTACACTGATTGATTTTCGAATGTTGAACCATCCCTGCATACCTGGTATGAATCCCACTTGGTTATGAAGAATTATTTTTTTGATATGCTGTTGAATTACATTGGCCAGAATTTTGTTGAGGATTTTTGTGTCTATGTGCATGAGGGATGTTGGTCTGTAATTTTCTTTTTTTGTGATGTCTTTACTTGGCTTTGGTATCAGGGTTATGCTGGCTTCATAGAATGAGTTCTGGAGTATTCCTTCCATTTTGTATGCTATGAAACCCCTTTAGTAGTATTGGTGTTAACTCTTCTCTGAAAGTTTGGTAGAATTCTCCAGTGAAGCCGTCCAGGCCAGGGCTTTTTTTGTTGGGAGTTTTTTTTATAATCCCTTCAATCTCTTTTTTTGTTATGGATGTATTTAGCTTTTCTACCTTAGTTTGTGTTAGTTTAGGTAGGTAGTGTGTTTCTGGAAATTTGTCCATTTCCTCTAGGTTTTCAAATTTTTTGTAGTATAATTTTTCATAGTATTCTTTTATGATCGTTTTTATTTCAGTTGAGCTTGTTGTGATATTGCCCATTTCATTTCTTATTCGAGTTATTTTCTTCCTCTCTTGTTTTTCTGTTGTCAGTTTGGCAACTGGTTTGCTGATTTTGTTGATCTTTTCAAAGAACTTGCTTTTGGTCTTGTTGACTCTTTCAATTGTTTTTCTGTTCTCTATTTCATTTACTTCTGCTCTAATTCTTATTATTTCCTTTCTTCTGGAGCCTGAGGGCTCCTTTGGCTGCTCTCTTTCTATTTGTTCAAGCTGTAGGGTTAATGTTGTGATTTTGCCCTTTCTTATTTTTGGATGTGTGCATTTATTGCTATAAATTGCCCTTTAAGCACTGCTTTTGCTGTGTCCCAAAGGTGCTGGTAAGATGTGTTTTCATTGTCTTTTGAGTCTATGAATTTCATCATTCTGTCCTTGATTTCTTCTATAACCCAGTAGTTTTTATGCAAGGTGTTGTTCAGTTTCCACGTATGTGATTCTTTTCCTTGCTGTTTCTGTTGCTTTCCATTTTTATGGCATTGTGATCAGAAAAGATGATTTGTAATATTTTGATGTTTTGGAACTTATGAAGGCTTGCTTTGTGGCCTCCTACGTGTTCTATTCTGGAGAATGTTCCATGTGTGTTGGAAAAGAATGTATACTTGGCTGCCATTAGGTGGAGTGTTCGGTATTTTGTTCAGTAGAACAAAATTATAAACTTGTGCATTTCTGGCCTATATTTTAAACACATGGATTGGTTTGTTAATGAAACTGCATTCGTTTGCAGTCAAGGGAATGAATTGTGAGATAGACAAATCAATATATTCCTGATTTATTTGAATGAGAAGTAGAAATATGCTTATATATGCATATATGCTGCCTATATATGCATTAATATTACACATATTTGTATATTGTCATCGTTGTTAGTTGCTGTCTAGTTGATTCCTACTTATGGTGACCCCTTGTATTACAAAGTAGAACTCCTTCATAGGGTTTTCTTGGTTATAGGGTCACTATAAGTCGGAATTGACTAGATGTCAATAGGTTTTTTTTTTTTTTCTTGTAATCTTAACAGAAGCAGATCAGCAGGACTTTTTTTCTGTAGAACCACTGGGTGAGTTCCCATCTCCAACCTTAGGTTAACAGTCGAGTGTAAACCATTTTGCAAAACCTAGGCAACTTTATATGTGTATTAAAGTGATTAATTGCTAACCTAAAGGTCAGCAGTTTGAAACCACCAGTGGCTCCATGGCAGAAAGATGTGGCAGTCAGCTTCCATAGAGGTTCACAGCCTTGGAAACCCTAGGGGGTGCTATGAATTGACTTGACGGCAGTGAGTTTGGTTTTTTTCTTTTTTTGGTTTAGGCACCTTTATATGTGTATAGATATGTAAAATTAATAAATGTATAAATCTAACATATCTACTTCAGATATGTAACTAATATTTTAGATTTTTTAAATATGTTATATCTATAATAACACCGATTAATGCAGAGAGTTAGTACTTGCCTAATTTTACTTTTAATACAGTCACATAGACTATATGCTTTTCCTAAAGATTATGTTTTTAACTTGTTTCTATTGCCTTTGGCCATTTATTACTAGAAGTGATTGCTAATTTAAATTTCCTTAGGGAGTACAATAAATATGAGAGATCTCAACAACAGCCCCTCTAGATTTAAATTATATTTTAAAATGTAAACATAAAAGATTAATTATTTTTCAGAGAACTTGATGTTATCCTTGGGAGGAATTGTAAGTTATTTATTATTCTTCTCAGAGTTAATTATATTAATTGTTTGCACTGAATTAACAGTGCCAAATGGAAGAATGTTAATTAATTGAATAAGCAATTTTTACTTTTTCTTCACTTTCAGTTGATTTATCTTTAGTGAATAAGGATGAAAATGCCATCTATTTCTTGGGAAATTCTCTTGGTCTTCAACCAAAAATGGTTAAAACATATCTGGAAGAAGAACTGGATAAGTGGGCCAAAATGTAAGTATTATATTAAATACTATTATTCAACATCTCATACAAGAATTTAAAAAATCACGCTAGATTGTCTAATATTTAGAAAGGTATATAATAGAATGCAAATATTTTGGAGCATAGGGGAACTCAGGTATGGTGCAGTTCAATATTCTCATTTTATTGATGAAGCTGAGAATCAGAAATGTAATATAAGGTCACATGGCAAGTAATGGCAGAGTCAAGAGTAAAACTTGTAAACTATTAAAAATGTAAGTCTCTACCCTGTATTGATACATTTAAACCATATGTAATCATTTTATTTTATTTCTTTAATGACTAACAAAGGAGTGAATATTTGAGATTTATTTTAGTTTTTCCATCATTAGTTCTTGGCTAAACTATATCACCGCCAACCGTCTGTCGGTTTGTTATACTTTGGTGGCTTACACGTTGCTGTGATTTTGGAAGCTATGTCACCAGCATTTCAAATACAGTAGTGTCACCCATAGTGGACAGGTTTCCGCAGAGCTTCCCGACTGAGGCAGACTAGGAAGATCTACTTCTGAAATTAGCCAATGAAAACCCTATAGATCACAACAGAATATTGTCCAATATAGGGCTACAAGATGACCCCCATAGGGGGTCAAAATACACAGTGGCTGCAATGATTGACTTAAACGGACCAATGATAATAAAGATGGCAACAGGACCAGGCAACGTTTTGTTCTGTTGTACATGGGGTCGTCATGAGTTGGAGCCAATTGAAAATAACTAACAACAATAAAATTTATCAACACTATATAAAACAAAAATTGATGAAAGGGTGTTTGTACATGTCTGTCTATCTTCATTGCGCATGCAGACAGGCTGTGCCTCATACTTCCAGGCAGCCATTAGACTGCTTGGAATGAGGCACATATACCCAAAACATTCTGTGGGTGCTATGTTCATCTGTGATTGAGCCAGACACACGAGACACTTATATAGTGTTTGCGAAGTAAAAGCCATTATTATTATTTATAGAAAGCAAACATTAAACATGAACAACAGATTCCCAAGGGAGAACAGCTTACCTTTCCCCAAATTACTCAGGTTCTTTTTTATGTCCCTGTGCAGGAGAGCTGTGGTTCAGGTCAGATGCTATGTTCACGTCGCCATTGCATCCGGCTACCACCATGCTGCTTGGGTGGTGTGCATGGCTCCCAAGGCTTCTGCTCTGCAGCTGGGCCTTGCTCCTGGCTGGAAGACCTCTGCACAGGATCTTCCAAGCCTCTGCAGCTGGGTTCTTCTAAGTCTCTGCTGCTGGTTCCCAGCACGCTACCCAGCTCTGTGGAGCTCTCTTGCCACTATGCTAGCTGACCCACGCTGCCCAAGGGAGGAGGCGTGCAACCCCTGTACAGGGTGCACTCAGGCCTCTCTTGCCCTACACAACCAAGTGTTACAGCTCTTCTCTCCACTAGCAAGCCTCCTGCCCAGAAGTGTCCAGCTCCACCCTGCTGTAGGAAGTCCCCCTACGCAGGATCCTCTGAGGCAGCACTTGCAAGGGGCACACTCAGACCTCTGCCCTGCATGGGCAAATGATACAGCTCTTCCAGCTCCTCCAGCAAGCCTCCTGCTCTTAGCTCTCAGTCCGTAGGCCCAGCAGGCTCACCACTGCTGTCTCTCACCATCTTCAACATTAGCACTTCTGGTTCTATGAGATTCTCAACACAGGGACCCCAGGTCCTTGGTCCAAAGGAGCTCTGCTCTTGATGGCAGTGAGGTCCCCCCCCAACCTCTGTGGGATTGGCTCTTTTAAGCCTAGCAGGTTGGCAAAACTGACCAATCCCCTTGGTAGACCACAGTCACCTCATTTACATAGTCCTGCCAGAGTTTTATACCTTATTTACATAATCCCAGTGAATCATTTTGTGGGAGTTACAAAACATGGCTAGAAAGGCTATCTAAAAGCAATTCACTGCACCACAGGGGGAAAGAGTTTGGGTGAATTAGGAGTACTCTATCTCTAAACTGAACAGGGTTTATTGAGAAAGATGCTGCATTTGTTCTTAGCGAAGGAAGTTTGCTCCAACTATACTGGCATCTTCATAAAATTAGAATCTACTTTTTTTCTCCATCTCTTCTGTTGTTCTGACTATGAAACCCTTCATTCTTTAAGCTCAGCCTTCTCGACCACACTGATTAACCCTCCCTGAAAGTTCAGTGCATTAATGGTCACTGCTCTAGAGTACCATACTCAAGTAACAGGCGCCTTCTACCTTTGTTTACCAACCGCACCCTCCCCTTGCAAGGTATTTTCTGAAGTACATTATGCTAATTTTTTTTTTACAGCAACATGAAAAAAAAAGGGGGGCATAACAGTGCTTTCGAAAATACCTCGTTGTGGGGAGGGTGCAGTTGGCAAGCAAATGTCGATAGTGAGCATTATTTTTGTAAAAATACTGTAGGCAGTTTAGAGGTATCTGTTAGCACAGTGGTTAAGAGGTTGGCTGCCAACCAAAAGGTCAGCAGTTTGAATCCATCAGCCGCTCCCTGGAAACCTTATGGGGCAGTTCTAGCCTGTCATATAAGGTTGCTATGAGTCGGAATCAACTTGAGAGCAATGGGTTTGGTTTTTTTGTTTGTTTTCATTAGTTTTATATTCGCAGCTATATTATAGACACCTTAAGGAGAACTGTCTATTATAAGTTAGCTTTATATCCTTCCTCAATAATTCCTTATAAAATCAAAGCTAGAATTTTTTTTTTAATTTCCTGATTATTTTAATCTGATAAATATTTATAAAGGAAGAGCCAAACCTGAAAGTCAGGAAAAAAAGTTTCAAAAAGATGAAACCAAACCAACTAAGAATTCTGGAGGCAAGACATTTGGCTCTTATAAGAACTCGGAATGCCTTCTCCAGCTTTTTTTATTCTTCATGCTACTGGTCCTTCATATTGGAAACAGTACTGCTTGTACTGCCTGGACTAATCATTACTAGTATACTATTAGATAACACGGCAAAATTCTTAATTTTAGTGGTTAAGAATGTAAATTCACAACTTAATGCAAGAATGATAAAGGTTTATGTATTTTACTAAGCCCGTTATAACTTTATGTGCATAACTTTTATGCATAAATTACAAAATAAATATATTTGAAAGCATTTTGCTCTAGCAGGTTTTAGTACTTAGAAAATGAGTGTCATAGCTAATAAAAATGGTTAACACTTATTGTTGGCCTTAATGCAAGAGACAGCAGAGAATTAGACTGAATGAATTTGAACTTTAGAGAGTGTCGTTGTCTCTTGGCTGTTCATGCAGCAAGGCTGTGCAATTTTTTCCTTTAGGCACTTACAGAAGATGCTTCCCTGCTATTCTATTCATATCTTTATGGTTATCCTACTTTATTAAGGGATAGGTTGATTACTTTTGAGACTTGAAAATTATATTCAAGGGAAGTGTTTCTCTGTCCTAACATTTATCCTTCTATTGTTGTCACCTTTCATTTTTATAGTTACTCTGTGACAATAGAAAATTTTATAATCTTAAACTTCCCTTCCTATTCCTCATTAGACAGATAATGATTCAGAAAAGAGGTGCATTTTAATGCTTCAAGCAATATAAACTGAATTAAAAAAGACGTCTTCTGAGAAAAACATCAGATAGCTTGTTTCTATCTCATCCTTGCTTTTTTTGTTTTGTTTCATCTTCTTGCTCCATAGGGACCAACTGCACAGTGGAGTTTAAGGTGCATAATCACCTTCCTGCTCCCTCCATCGTGCGTCTCAAAACTTTTGCTCATCATTATTTTTGTTCCCCTATCCACCCTATGCAAAAAAAAAAAAGTTGCTGTTGAGTCAATTCAGACTTATGGAAACACCATGTGTTAGAGTAGAACTGCTTCATTGGGTTTTCTTGACTGTAATATTTTATGAAAGCAGATTGCCAGGCCTTTCTTCTGCAACTCTACTGGGTGGGTTCTGACAACCAAACTAAGTTAGTAGTCGAGTGCAAACTATTTATGTCACCCAGCTACCTAAATAAACCCCGTTGCCGTCAACTTGATTCCAACTCATAGTGACCCTATAAGAGTAGAACTGCCCCATAGTGTTTCCAAGGAGCAGCTAGTGGATTCGAACTGCCGACCCTTTAGTTAGCAGCCAAGCTCCTAACTACTGTGCCAGCAGGGCTCTGCTACCTAAATAATTAGCTGTAAACCCCACCTCTGGCCTTTTTCAGCTATGGTTCTCTTTCTGACAGTCGTTTCAGTTTCTGGACTGTATCTCTCCTGCACGTGTTCAGTTCACCCCTAGACCCAGAGCCACCCATTGTTGAAAGTATTACCTGATTACCTGATCCTCCTCACCTTCTCCAACCCCTCCTTTGTCCTACTTCTCAGCTGATGCCCTAGCCCGGCCAGTGTCTCCTTCTCTTCTTGACCAGTGGAAGATTGCAGGAAGATCTGAGACAGAGAGAGCTGCACATTCACTAAGTGTTCCAACACAGATTGGAATTAGTTTATTTGGAATAATAATGATAATCTTAACAATAACATAACAATTCGAGTGCTTTGACAAAGTGAGATATTGCTCAGGGTGTGAATTTCGAGCCTGTAAAGCAGTAAAATGCCATTTTGTTCACGGCAGGAAAATGCCATTTTGTTCATGGCATTTTCCTGCTTTACAGTCTATTGCCATTTTGTCCCCACTTTTATGGCCTATTGCAGACATGCTACCTACCGTGGTCATCTACAGAATAAACCCTCTCTAGTCACAATGCAGCCTGACTCTGTAATTTATATGACCACAGTCTTTGATTACTTATACTAAAGGACAGTCAAGAAGAGAGCTATACTTAGAAATGTATTAGGACCCAAATGATTTCTTTAAAAACTTCCAGTTATTCAAGGTGCTGTAGGGGAAAAGCATCACAAAGTCTAGTAAAGCAAAAAGAGTTTTATTCGGCATATATTCAAAAGGACAAAAGTGGGAAAAGGATAACAATGCTGCCAGAGCCACGACTGCACAAGTCCAAGGAAATATC